TTATTTTTTATAAATCGAAATTTTTGCCTGCACTTAATGTATAAAAAATGCGAATTTTACTCGAAATCCATAAACGATATCGAAATTTTGTAAGGGCAAAAAAATCTTCTAAAATAGTGCTTATTTTTTAAAATATAAATTCTGTCGTCATTGGCTTACATACAAAAAAGTTACGGGATAGCCAGTGGGGCACAGGCACTAGAAATAGAACATCCTGTATATGTATTCCCCCAAATTCTATATTTACCTTACCCTTATATAAGAAAATAATTGTACCAAATTTGAAGTTTCTAAGAAAAATAGTTTTCAAATTATTTGAAAAAAATAGGTTATCTATTCTATATTTTCAACTAGCAATAATCGCACCTCGGATTGACCTCATCGGTTACGATATCGCCACTGCGCAAAGCTGGCTATTTAGAAGGCTATATCTCAGTAGGCGTGCACTTTTGTATAAGTTAGGCTAAATAGTCTTATTTTCATCCAAGGAACCTGTGGTCGAGCATTGTCCATCCTTTTCATGGACACCCTGTATATACCTATTTTAATATACTGAAAATAAAATTTCAAGGCGCGCTCATGGCGCGGTAAATTGTTACAGTAGTTTCGTTAACAGAACTTTATTGGCTTATTCTTTTTTTTTAATTCTATTTTAACAGATATTGTAAGAACTGCAACTTACATTGTAGCACACAATTAAAGTAATAAAAAATTGGTAAATATGCTATTTACTCCAGTCGGCAGAGACCGAAAAGTTACTGTTGGTGACATTTTCTTGATAACTCGGAAATAACTACACAGGAATACTTTAAATGAGGAGTTCAATAACAGGCTAATTTGCTGACAAAGTATCTTATCAGGAAAAAAAATAACAATTTAATCGTGAAAAAAATTTTTTTTAGTAGTTTTCTTTAAATAACTCAGCGGCATGACTTTGTACGAAAAAATGCTTAGGACATGATTTTGTTCGTAATAAAAATAGCTACAAAATGGCGGTGGTCCGATTACGAAATTTGCAATAACAAAGCCGTAAGATTGAAAAAACGGTATAAAACGCCAATTTTTTTAAGTTGCTGTAAAAATGTCAATTATAAACAAAAAGTGATACAACTTTCGAAAACTATAGTTCAATATATATACAATAATGACGCTAAAGCCGAAAATCAGGAGAGCAAAACTTTTTGTTCTNAATCAAAAAGGGCAATTCGAAATTGATTTCTCTGGCACTGGAAACAGGTCCGTCCTTAGGCAAGGTAAAACATGCGGTCGGCTACCATCATGGCGGCAAATGAAAAACGAATGTAAACACTATCGCAACAACGATAATACTAAAATCGTAATCAGTATTCGGAATCGCCTGGGGCCACGTGGGCGAATGACGTTAGAGACTACAGTAGCCCAACAATGTAAAGGTTGAAAATACTACAACTTCAATAATTTTTTCTCGGAAACTATAAGGAAAAAATTTTACGATATTGACTCCATTTTTCATGACATCTATTTCGAAATTTTTTCAGATAATTTATGAATCACCTTGTATACAGTTACGCTTTCAATAATTTTCGTTTTGTAAACACCTTGTATAATTTTAACATAATATGTTAACATTCAAACATCTATTGATTTCATTTTTAAAAAAAGCTGAAAAACAATCTTGAAAATGAATAAATCCGTTCATTGATTTATCTTAGCTGAATTTCGTATTGATCTTACGAGTACTAAATACCTATCTATTCTGTCACTAGTGATGGAAAAGTAGATAAATAACTCTTAATACAACTCCTTCCAGTTTCAATAAACACATTTATCCTTAAAGGAAACTGGGTTTGTTCCTCGTCAAAGTCTCTTGGAATTCTCTAGCGGACCTGAACGCTGAACTATGTAAGAGGTTCTATTCGCTGAAAATAAATACTAACCAGGTCACGCTCGTTGCCGTAAGGGAGCTTGATAAAAAATTTTATTATCCGTGTAAGAACGAATTTGATCTACCATCAAGAAAATGGTATGGTGATACTTTTCAATAAATCCATGTTGGGAACTATTTTACGTGCATGGTGTGCTTATTATTCTTTAATTTTATCTTATGTGTTCTATTGATCATAATATTAATAATTCAAAGCAATTTTTTCATTGAGTATTTATATTGACTAAGTAAAAGGCGCCACATTTTTCCGTTTTAAATTAATTTTGAAGTAAAAAATAAAATTTTCAGCAAATAAAGTCCTTTGTACTAAGTGTACAAATGTTGCAAAATATTTACAAAGTGGAACAGATGGACCTGAACACATGGACCTGAATTTGGCTGGGAATAAAAAAAATGTTAATTAATTGTCACCATTGACAGTTGGTTCTTTTGTAGTTTTTGTGTCATTTGTGTTAAAATCAACGGTATCCAAACCGCCCTCTTCTAGACAAGCAAACGTTCAATGGAGACTTCACCACTCTTCGATTAACAGGTGCATTCCCTAAACTGACTTATGAAAGAGAAGTTATGCCAAGAAACGATGCTGCAGAAATGCTTGAGGTTTTTGAACATGATCCTGGTAGGTACTAGTATCAGAAGAATTTCTGTACTTACTGGACAAAGTAAGACGACTGTGCAAAACACTGCGCGAAAACGGACTGCATCTCTATCATTACCAATCGGTACAAGAACTTTTCCCCCAGATCTTCTCCAAAGATTTCGTCTTTCTAAATGCTGAAGCAATCATCTGGATACTCTTTCAACAAGCCTTTTCTGTGACGAAGCTACATTTACAAGCGATGGAATCAACAATTTCCAACGATCATGTGTGAGCAATCAAAAACCCTCATGCTATTCCAGAAACCCGTTTCAGAGAAGATTCTCCATAAACGTTTGGGTGAAAGAGAAGTTATGCCAAGAAAGGATGCTGCAGAAGTGCTTGAGGTTTTTGAAAATGATCCTGGTAGGTACTAGTACGAGAAGAATTTCTATACTTACTGGAGAAAGTAAGTCGACTGTGCAAAACACTTCGCGAAAACGGACTGCATCTCACTAATTAGGCCTCGCATGGCCTAATTAGTGAGATTTAGTTAGAATACCTATACGCATTTTGGACCATATAAATGCCCGATCTGTCAAAATATATTATAACTAAATCTGTAAATCTTTACGTAATTGGAAAAAGACAGAAATGTCTGAAAACGGTTTAACAATTACAAGATGTCTTATTTTCTTAATAAAAAAACCTTCGTTTCGTTTTTTAATAGTATCTCGCTCTTTGTTAGCGATGGACCCAACAAACCCTACATGACTATGCTCGACAGGGAACATTATATCCAAATATGTAAAAATATACAGGGTGTTGCATTTAACTTAACAAAGTTAACATCCGCGGCCATTTTATTTGAACTTCGTTTGTTTTACTATTTCGACTAATTTTCGAAAAATTCATAAAAGCTCGTGCAACTTTTATATTTCACATTTTTTTATAACTCTCAAAACAAAAAAGTTAAAAGGGGGTCAAAATATAGTGAATCACCCTGTACAAGAACTTCTCCCCCTAGATCTTCTCCAAAGAGTTCGTCTTTCTAAATGTTGAAGCACTCATCTGGATTACTCTTTCAACAAGCTTTTTCTGTGATGAAGCTACATTTACAAGAGACAGAATCAACAATTTCCACAAGGATCATGTGTGGACAATCGAAAACCCTCATGCTATTCGAGAGGCCCATTTTCAGAGAAGATTCTCCGTAAACGTTTGGGCTGCAATAATTAATAACATTGGAAATTTGAACAGCAAGATGTACCGAGTTTTTGGAGAACCATCTGCCTCTACTACTTCAAGACATTCCTCTTCAAATCAGAAGGACGATGTTTTTTTACATGACGGTGCTCCGTTCCATTATGGAAGAGGTGTCACTAATTTACTCAATGAAAAGTATCCAAATCGATGGATAGGCCGTGTCGGTCCCATTTGCCACCATGATCTCCGGATTACACTTTTATTAAAATAACCGACATTATTTTTACTAACTCTATCAAGTCGCAACAATGTAATTTACTCTTTAGCAACTACCCATACGACCTGGCAACTGCATAGTATAATTTTTGATTAAAATTAGTCATAGAATACAAAATATCTCAGATACCTGGGCAGCCATCCTGCATACGAAAGGTATTAGAAAAATTATTTATTATTATTATCGCCATGATAATAATTCATTCAATCATTCAATAATGACAACATTTTCTACTTGTTCGTCAAATTTGATTACAATTCGATCTTTATTTTTTATTTTATAGTGTTCTGCAACAAAAAATGAATTTTACGATATTGGAAGATTCACAAACGACTGTAGTAGGTACATAGAAATGAAGTTCCATCATACTTTAAAAAAATATATTGGTCAGGACAGTTTCGATATGGGGGTTGTGTAGCCATTGAAGGCGACCCAACTGTAAGGCCTTCAGACGCTGTTCTGTGTCGAAACCACGCGAGCTACCCGCTCGTACAGCTCCTACTCAGGTTCTTCTTTTATATAAAAACAACGTACTTTTCTTTTAAAATATATTTTTCATAAAACACAAAACAACATGATTACATTTTTGACGTTATATCAATAATAACAACTGTTTTTTAACAAAACAAAACTCTCATGTCAAGACAAAATATAGGATGCACATTGATGTCTCTAACAGACGCAATCATTCTTAATGTTTACAGGAAAGTGGAAATAATAGTTCTGGAAGATCATCGTTTGAAAGTGTCTACAACTGCTAGGGGTGTTTTTTAATTGTAGATACAATGCATTAGTAATAAACATTTTTAATAATCAAAATTTGTTTAAACTTATTGAGAACTTCTTTNTTATTAAAATAAACGACATTTTTTTCTAACTCTATCAAGTCGCAACAATGTAATTTACTCTTTAGCAACTACCCATACGACCTGGCAACTGCATATCATTTTTGATTAAAATTAGTCATAGAATACAAAATATTATTAAAAATTATTTATTTTTCGCCATGATATAAACAGTTGATCAACATTGTCTTATAACATTCAATAATGACAACATTTTTTACTTGTTTGTCAAATTTGATTTCAATTCGATCTTTATTTTTTATTTTATAGTGTTCTGCAACAAAAAATGAATTTTGCGATGTTGGAAGATTATAACATCTTCAAATTCTTAATAAAGAAACAAAATGGTTCTAAAAATATTAACAAACGACTGCAGTAGGTATATAGAAATGAAGTTCTATTTAAAAAAAATACATTGGTCAGGACGGTTTCGATATGGGGGTTGTGTAGCCATTGAAGGTGACCCAATTGTAAGGCCTTCAGACGCAACTATTCTTAATGTTTACAGGAAAGTGGAAATAATAGTTCTGTAAGATCATCGTTTGAAAGTGTTTACAACTGCTAGGGGTGTTTTTTAATTGT